AAGATAGAGATTAAAAGCGGATCTTCCAACTGCAGCTCTTATAGACCATGCTGGCCTTGAACTCACAGAGATCTATCTATTTCTTCTTTCTGAGTGCTGGTATTAAAGGTATGCATGCACCACCACCACCCAGCTTGGTTGGTGCTTTCATAATGTGGAGAACTACCATTAACTAGCCCATAGTCTTCTCTTCCTCAATCAACCCATGGTGGGGAACACTCAATAAGACTATAGGCACATCCTTGGCAGTAGATGACAATGCAACTTTAGTAAAAATAATAGACATTTGGACTTGTGTTTTCAGGACCTGCTTAGGCTTGATCATGTATATAATACTTCCCCATTGATAATGGATTATTGCTATGCACATTTTACTTTAAGACTTGGTGGATTAGTATCATCCAACTCATGATGGGCAGCTCACATCACATGGTAACTTGGTGGCCCATTGTGAAACTTCAGTTTCCATTAAGGCCCAATAGCAGGCCAAGAGCTGACTTTTAAAGGAAGAATATTTGTATGCAATGGATATTAGAGCATTTCTCCAAAAGCTCAATGGTCTGCTCTATAAATCATCTACAGAACACTGGCAAGGGTTCCAAATATCTGCCACTATCTGCCACTAACAGCTCAAATACCACAGGACTTATTGATTAATATGGTCCAATTGATAGAGCAGACTTCACATCAGCCTGGAACTGCTGATCTCTTGTTCCAGGCATTATACAAAGCTAGCAGATATCTGTGTCACTTGTTTATATGGGTTGAAGTAACAAACTCAAGTGAGGAATGGATTGTCTCCAGAATCCAAATAGGTCCACTAAATGTTGTACTTCTTTCCTGACGATGGGAGGGGACAGATGTACTAACTTATCTTTCATCTTTAAAGAAATATCTCTGTATGGCCCACATCACCGGACTCCTAAGAATCTCACTGAGGTAGATGATCCTTAAATTTTGGTTATATTTATTTCCCATCCTCTTATGTGCAAATGTGTTATCAGTATGTTCAAAGAGAATGATCCCTCCTGCTCACTTGGTCCAATCAGCATAATGTCCTCAATATAATTCACCAATGTTGTATATGATGGATTTGAGAGATGATGAAGGTCCATTCTAAGTTCTGACAGAGAGCTGGAGAGTTAATATATCCTTAAAGTAAAACTGTAAAGGTTTATTGTTGGCTTCAACAACCGGAATCAAAATAAAATACTTTTTAAAAAATAAACTTGTGATATTGTCTTAGTATGAATCCATCTGTTTGAGTCTTTGAAGTATGGGGATTATAGACCAAATCTATCATGCCTAGCTGTTTAATAATATGAAAGCAAATGAAGAGGAAAGACACCCACAAACATATACAAATGAGTTCAATAAAGGGTTCTTCAATAGTCTTATTTATTATAATGGACTTTTGAGAAGTATTGAAAGCCATACAGGTGCACCATGACAAATTATGATCAATGTGCATATAGACATGACATATTAAACACAACCATCTAATGACAATTTTAAGTTGAATTATGAAATCTCATAATCATTTTAGAATGTTTTTACATCTTCAATAAAATATTACTTTTTAAAGGTAAAATCCTAGCTATTACACCTCCATTGTTTCATCCTCTGGTGTCTGGTCTTTCCAAATATGTAACTCTCATTAGCAGAGGTGTTAAGCAAAATGCTTCCTATTGCTAAATATCCAGGAACATGAATATTTATACTGTATTCATGTCAAAGTAAAGAAACCTGAATATAGAACTAATTGAATTGTACATGGACTGTCATTTTCTTTACATTGTAAGCAAGAGCCATACACAAGGACATAAATGTTAGTAATCTCCCCTTAACTGAAGTCATCCAATCAACACTGTTATGTTTAGAGGGGGCAGAAGTAAACTAGGGTAGCATATGCACAAATCTCTGCAAACACCCAATCAAGAAAGAAGGGCAAACACTGTAACAGCAAGTAACACAAAATACCACAATCACCTTTCTTATTACTCACATTTTCTCAGAAGTTCATTTTAATTAACTATACTTTTAGGAACAAAATATGGTCCCTACACAGGATATTTATATATGAAAAGAGTTTTTTTATTTAAATGAAATTTAGGCCCTGGCAATGCTGAAACAGCCTGAATATGGTGGCTCTGTTGAACTTGTCCATATTAGGTTTCATGGTCTAAGTTGATAAGGACGACTGGCCAGGTCTCTTCCTCATATTTATATCTACACTCATCAAAATACATTTCCTTCAGAACACCTTTTGTGGTTTTTTTTTTCCGGATCTATGGCCATGTTTTCATTCAATCTAATGTAACAGATTGCTGTAGACAACATTCTACCACGTTAAGTAAAAGAAAATAGTCATTCTAACTTATAATTAATTTTGTTTGGGAGTAGAAATCTAATTCATATTGATTTTGAGTAAACCTTTACGTACCCATCTGCTCTGTTTTAAGCTAAGCTTTGTACAGATCAATGCTTCTCACAACTTGCACTAAGTAATCAATGGGGAAGGAAAATCTTTATTTACTGTCCAGTAATTATGTTTACATTCATATGAAATATTATAAGATGTGCAAGGCCATCCTGGAGGATGAATTCATGACCCCTGGATCACAAAAAGATTGCTTTGCTTTGTATTTTACTCAAATGAAGCAAATCTGATGAATGTATTCAGAAAATTAAAGGGACAGCTATGTCTTACCTTTGCTTCCTTTCAGTTCCCAAGACCAAGGTCATTGTCAACAGTTGCATGATCTTTCAATCCCAGGAACCCTATAATTGCTGAACTGCAGCTCACAGTAACATGGCTGCCAGAACCAGCCTTATTTCCTAAACTGTGATCAGTTCTGGTATTAAGCTGACCACCTGCTCACTCACAGCCACACTCTCACTTCATATATTTCACCCTGGCCATTTTAACCTGGAGCACAAACACAGTCTCTCTAAACGTTTGAATCTCCAACATTGTGGAGTACAGTCTAGACACGAACATACTGACATTGTGCTTCAAAATCACATAGAAAAGGAGCCCTGTTCTTTTCCAACCACATCTTGGCTATCATTGGCAAGATCAGTGTGACTATTGTCCTCTGTGAAAGGAAGATGAAGAGATGTCTAAAGACCAGTGGTAGAAATAAAAGCAAATGAGAAACCGTGTTCTTCTCATCACCATGTTTTACATTTAAGTAGCTCGACAAGCATGGAACAATTAAGTCTAGGTTTCTGCTTTCCAGCAAAGATGAACAGATGGGCCTAGAATGAAACTGCCCATCAAAATCTGTTTTGTCCTGTTTTATTACAGCTATTCAGATAAGGAATGCAGATTGAAATAAGTAAGAGTTGTAAACAGGTTCTGCTTTCAATAACTAAACACATTCACAGGACCGTGAATAAAAGACAAATATCTTGTTCACTGTGGATTCTTGTCAACTAAAGAAGCTAGAGATTACGCATGGCAAATACTTGCAAAGTAATGTTAGGTATATGAAAACTGGAATTATGCACGAAATGTGGCAACTGTCCCATTCAGAATAATGAAAACACATGAACCAAATTAGTAAATACAAACTCATTGTGAAACCTATATTGGTTTGTGAGTGTGTAGAGTTGTGTACATGCATGTGCATGTGAGTATATGGATATTCAATTGTCCGTGTGTTGGTGCAGAGAACAAGCTTATGTTTTGAGCACCAGGTGCTGTGCATCTGGTTTTGGAAATAGTCTCTCACTGATCCAGAGTTCTCTAAGAAGGCTAGGCTGGATGGTCACTCAGCATCCAAATCTGCCTGTTTCTTCCAACTTCATAGTTGGACTCCAAGGCATTAGGTTTGGTTTTTCATAAGTGATCTGAGGACTGAACTAAGAACACCTTGTTATCAAGGTTAACAGGTTTTTAAATTTAATTAAAATAAAATTTCATCATAATATGTAGTCATATTAAATCCTGGAATTGACTTGAGACTCCACATCAGACATTGTACTTTAATAAGACAATCATAAGATAATATGAAGCTTGGAGGAAAGTAATAAAAGATAGACAAAAGATATTTTTATTAATACTTACAAGACTCAGTACAAAAGATGAGTCTCACTTAAGAAAGCTGGAAAATACTTCTTTTCCTCTGTCCGAATGAGATGTAAGAGACCACAGACTAGTGAATTATGAGTATATGAAGCAACTGATTCAACCTTAAGATTCCCAGAACTAGGCTTCCGGCGGAGCTCTGGACCGCGGAACCTCCTAGCGTGGCCTCCAACCATGACCTCTCTGCAAGCCAAGGATGCGTATCTGCAGGACTTGGCCAAGAAGATCTGCACACAGCCTGGCCCCGAGCGGCAGGGGAGCAAGTGGGCTGTCAGAACAAAACGCTTGGAAGCTGCTGGGCCCCCCAAAAAGAAAAGGAAGAAAACACAGAAGAAATCTCGGGACCAGGAACAGAAAACTGCAGAGCACAAGACTAAGGCCCCAGGGAAGACAGCTCCCACCTCGTCTAGGGCTAAGAAGCCAATGGAATCCAAACAAGAGAAGAACTCCAGCTCCCTGGAGTCTCCTAAAGATGGCCAAGCCACAGCACCTGACTCTGTCTTTGCACTGGATTTCCTGCGCCAGCGGCTGCATGAGAAGATGCAGCTGGCCCGGGGCCAGGGTAGCACCAAGGAGCTGTCAGCTGCCACCCTAGAGAAAAGACAGCGGAGGAAACAGGAGAGGGAACGGAAGAAGAGGAAGCGGAAGGAGCTTCGAGCAAAGGAGAAGGCTGCAAAGGCTGAGAACAAGGAGGAGCCGGCTGAGGCACCCCCAGATGTGGCCTGCAAGGAGCCGTGGGAGTCAGGGCTTATCTTTAATAAGGTGGAAGTGACTGAAGAGGAGCCGGCCAGCAAGCCCCAGTGGAAGAAGGAGAAGCGGCAGAAGGTGAAAGGGAACCTGACACCACTGACGGGCAGGAACTACAGGCAGCTGCTGGAGCGTCTGCAGGCGCGGCAGGGCCGGCTGGAGGAGCTGTGAGACCAGGATGCAGGCAAGGCCCAAGAACTGGAGGCCAAGATGAAGTGGACCAACTTGCTGTACAAGGCGGAGGGTGTGAAGATCCGTGACAATGAGCAACTGCTGAGGGAAGCCTTGAAGCGTAAGGAGAAGCGCAAGGCACAGCGGCAGCGCCGGTGGGAGAAGCGCTCAGAGCACGTGATAGAGAAGATGCATCAGCGTCAGGACAAGCGGCGCCAGAACCTGCGCAAGAAGAAGGCCGCGAAGGCCGAGCGGCGGCTGCAGAAGGCCCGCAAGAAGGGCCGGATACTGCCACAGGACCTGGAGCGCGCAGGCCTCTCCTGAGCAGCTTGCACCTGCCACATTCCTGGCCAGACACCTAGGTGACAGACCGCGGGTCTCCTATGTGAGACTGATGCGTTCTTGCACCACACAGCCATAGTGAGGGCTCCATTCGTGTGCCAAGAGGATGTTTTGCCATCGTCCTTAAGTAGAACAGTGTCCTCCAGTCCCTGGGAGGGATGAAGAGGATCTGTGCCCAAGTCTTGTGAGGGTGTGTGTCTGTCTTTCTGTCTGTCTCTGTGTGTGTGTGTGTGTTCATGTTTCTGAAAACTCCAGAAGCAAGGTAGTACAGTTGAGGTGAGCTGCCCACCTGACCTTCCTACCCACCTGTATTTCCGGTAGCCATGAGAACAAAAGGCCTTGACTACTGCTTCAGTGTTCACAAGTCTCTGGCAACAGAAGGGAGCCCACAGGAGTTCTCAGGGGAATATGATCCTGTTAGGTCTGTCTCTGGGCCAGAGCTTCAAAACCCAGAGTCTTTCTGGGATCTGCAGGGTGTGCCTTGGGTAACATGGCCTCCTGTGAGCCAGTTGCTGTCAGAGGCTTGGGAAGTAGTGGTGTACTGGCTAGTTTATGTCAGTTTAACATAAGCTAGAGTTATCTGAGAAGAGGGAGCCTCACTGAGGAGACAACCTCACTGGACTGGCCTGCGGGCAAGTCTGTGGTCCACTTCCTTTACTGGTAAATGATGTGGCAGGGCCCAGTTCATTGTGGGTAGTGCCACCTCTGGGCTCGTGGTCCTGGGTTAGATAAAGCTGGCCATGGGGAACAAACCAGTAAGCGATGTTCCTCTATGGCTCTTCCTTTTTTAGTTCTGCCTCAAGGTTCTTGCCCTGACTTCTCTTGGTGATGTACTGTTACCTGGAAATTAACATGAAATAAACCTTTTCCTCCCCCCCCCCCAAAAAAAAAGATTCCCAGAACTACATCATTATCGGGAGCAATCAAAGCAATGAGAACATAAATCTTTAACCTATTTATGCATTCAATGCGATGCACATTTTCAATGCACTCAATGAGTTGTAAGGTTCCTAATTAATTTCAATCAATCCCCAAATTAATAAAAATCAACTATTGTTAAATATACCTCTTTAAATACATCTTATTAAAGGCAATCAGAAGCTTTTAGTACTCAGAGATACATATAGTATTTAATCTTGAAGAAGACATGACTACCTGGTGATATATGATTATTAATTTGCTCCTTAACAACTATGTTCCTTTGAAAACTATGAAATGCATGGACTTACAGTTTCATTGTGTAAATCTCAATTAAACTGTGGCAAGATATAAAATCAACTTAATGAAAATGAAATAAATATTGATTAGTATGTGGCTAGAAAAAAATAAAAAAATAAAAAATGTCAAATGTTTAACATTAACTCAAAGTATACCTAATATTTAAAAATATTATTCACTACTGTGGAACAACTTTTCTATACTATGAATATGTATTATGCTCATTGGTCATAAAAAAGCTAACAGCCTGGTAGTTGGACAGGAAGGTAGGTGGGAAAGCTCGACTGAGAACGATGGTAAGAAAAGCAGATTTGGGAGAACCACCAGGCAGTCAGCACCCAAAAAGCAATACATGCTAGAGGACAGGGAAAGCCATGAGCCACATGGCAATACATAGATTAATAGAAATGGGTTAATTTAAGTTTTAAGAGCTAGTTAGTAATAAGCCCGAGCTATTGGCCTGGCATTTATAATTCATATTCAGCCCCTGAGTTGCTTATTTGATACCAGATGGTCCGGACAGGAAACGTCCATTTACATAAAACCACGCATTTTATCAATATATCTTTAAATCTAGAGGACTAAGAAAAAAAATCTACTTTATAGTCATTAGCCTTAAATTTACTGGATTGATAGAAACAAACCTCACAGACAAATCTACAGGTAACTGCTAAAAACTAAACTGAACTTATGTAGGCCAGCTTTGAGAAGCAGAATGGAAGCCCAGAGAAGCAGCCACCCTGTTGATCAGTAGGAGTGCAATAGTAATATGAGAACTGAGAAGTCTGAAGCCATTTTAAACCCAGGGAACCCTTAATGGCAAATGAGAAATTCTATTTCCAGAAAGAACTGACAGTAAGTTAAGATACTGGCAGGGAGAATGAATATAGAGATTGAGACTGTATCACCAACGAGGAATACTTCAATTCCCATTTTGGCACAATGGTAGCAAGACAAAGAATGACCTCACAGGCCATTATCAAAAATGATCTGCCCAGAGTACATTGTGTCTAACGTTCTAGAACATTACCAAGTGGATAATTTTACCTGAGTAGTTCATGAAAAAAATACCACATTGTATAATATCTTAAGCTAAAAGCTATCTGTGGACGATGTGGAAATTATTAGGGCACTTTTAAGTAAACTAAGGCTCATCAGTTACACACATCAGGACAGAGAAAATCTTGCTTTTCACAGCACTGCAGGGTTTAATCACCAAATATATGCTTTATACTGTATTGATAAGCTAAATACCAACTCTATTGATGTACTTTGTTAATACATATTACAAACATAAGCATATTTTTGTGTATATGTAGAGAAAATGTACAAGGATATATGCATTAATGTGAATATTTCAAGATATCTTATAAGGTAATTCATGGTGCATACATTTGAAGTATCATTTCTCACAGCCAGAAATATTCTTTTTCTAGAAGTACATTTTAAAAAATGCAACCACAATTATAATCCATTTCTCACGATGAATTATATTTAACTAGAGTGAAATAATAATTGACACTTTAATAACAGAACAAAAATTGCTTTCTCAATATTGGTATGCGTAGTAATAATTCAAGGGGTTTATGGGCTTTACCAAGGTATGAGCATATCCCACATGCAATCAAGATTTCTAGAATTGAATCTTCTATTGAACTCCAAGGGTCCTGTACAGGGGGAAGCCACCCCTCATGAAGTAAATGACCTAAACTTGATTCTCAGTAGCAAAATGGTAGAAAGAGACTTGCCTCACTCAGGATAGTGTTTTCTATTTCCATCCATTTGCATGCAAAATTCAAGAAGTCCTTGTTTTTTACTGCTGAGTAGTACTCTTATATGTATATATTCCATACTTTGAGGAACATGGGATATACTCACTCATATTTGGTTTCTAGCCATAAATATAGGACATTGAGCCTATAATTAGTGATCCTAGAGTAGCTAAATAAGAAGGAGAACCCAAAGAAAAACATATAGGCATCCTCCTGAATATTAACCTTCATCAGGCGATGAAAGGAGACAGAGACAGAGACCCACATTGGAGCACCGGACAGAAATCTCAAGGTCCAATTCAGGAGCAGAAGGAGAGAGAGCACGAGCAAGGAACTCAGGACTGCGAGGGGTGCACCCACACACTGAGACAATGGGGATGTTCTATCGGGAACTCACCAAGGCCAGATGGCCTGGGTCTGAAAAAGCCTGGGATAAAACCGGTCTCG